GAGGAAAATCTCCGGCCTTAGTTTTCAGGACACCGCCAAACCTTCAGGTGAGTATACCTACCCTACCGTAGGACATCTGAATTCCTCCCAACCCACCAGACCCACAAATCCCTCCAACCCTCCCCCTCCCCAACACCACCCGGTCTACCAACCGATTTCCGTTTCTCCTCCCCCATACCCCACCAATCATCAACGGCAATTGCCTCCCTATCACTTCCCCGCTCCGGGTCCCACCTACCCCCCACCCCCACCCCACCCTCACTACCAACAGTACCCGCCCTCGGGCCATAGTGAATATGGTCAATCTCCATATCCCGGGTGGCATGGTTCGTACTACAACAACACCCCTCCCCACCAACCCCGGCCTATGCCGCCACCACCTTACTCCATTCCTCCCTATCCTCCTAGTAACCAGGATGGGTACTATAGACAGTAATAGTCCCTTGATCATGGTTTCTTCCAACCTAACCACACATTAATTTAAATTATAGGGCACTCTTTAAAGTGAACTTTTTTTTTCCCTTGTAAAAATCTAGCATAATATCTTGTATTTTGGGTATGTGATTATTTGATTTGTAATGTGTGTTTCTGAGGAAATTGTTTTGGTAGGAAATGAGTTGCACGTTACTTCGATTCCACAAAACAGGACAGATTAAACTACAAGAAAATGACTTTGGGTTTAACAAGTTTGATTAGCTAATAGCAAAAGGATCCCTTTCAAAATGGCCTCCCTATGAGCATTTTGCAATCAACATATTTACCATTCCGTTGCATATTTTTAATATTTTACTTCATTCGTCTTAATGTATTTGTCTATTTTGATTTTTTCGAATCAAACAAGATGAAATTTGAGCTTTAATTTAGCAAAACTTGTAATGTATACTATTTCGTAATATTAAAATGATTTTATTAGATTAATCTTGTTCAGCTCTTTTAAAATTTAATTTGAAAGTAATTGAAGTTTAAATTTTGTCCAGTTTGTTTCGAATTAGTCTGACTGGACAAAGGTAGTTTATACTTTGAAGAGCATTTGTTGACCGGTCAAAAACGCCCTTTCTTCTTAGATGTTAAGAAATGTGATTATATTGGTCATCAACGTGTTCTTTGCAAAGAACATACTATGAAACACATGTTTCTGTAAAAGTATTTTTAAAAAAGAAACTTTATTTTTCATATGAATGCAAAGACCCACATATAATAAAGTCCATTTTACTACTTGGATCAATAAATACGAAAAAGATTTTTTATTTTGTTTCAAAAATGTGCTAACTACAAAGGACCCCATGGAGTATAAATATCAACAAGAAATTGGATTAAGACCATTAGGTGGTTTATTATAGGGATTAGGGAGTGTTGTTAGTTATTGGATTAAGACCATTAGGTTTCTTTCACCTTAATTTTTCACCATTCACCAACAAGAAATACATCATTTGAAGCTTCCTACTAAATACTCTTGTAAGGTAGGGCATGTGTCCTTTAAAAATCAATGAAAGATAGTTTTGTAACAGCATTTTTTATTTACTTTAATATACTCTGTAATTATTAAGGATCAAAGTGTTATGTCGAAATTCGTGAAAAATCAAATGAGCAAAAAACTTGGTGAAATTTACAATAAATAAGACTAAAACATACCACGTATGTCGTAAACCAATGTATTAAATAAACTTTTTTATTTCCTAAATAGTACTTAAATAACATCTAGTTGCAGGAACAATGTCCAGTGATGGTGGACATTTAGTTTGAATATCTGAATTAGTAGAAAGTTTTTTTTGCATTTCATATATAGTACTGCCAAAACTTATGGTTCAAAATCCAACCCCATTCAAATCAGCATATATTTTGGGGTCAAATATTGTTATCTCTAACGTAAATTGGAACAGAGAAAAAAACCCCATAACTTTTTTTTAACTTTAAATCAAAGATAATTTTAATCAATTATAAAAAGTCAAAATTGAATAAATAATCTAGAATTAGGGGGAGGTATTAGATTTTATTTTTGGAGTTAAAAAGAGTAATGATAATAGAATTGAAAGGTAACATGGGAAGACTTTCTATCTCTATAGTGCAAATCTAAGTAAGAGGTTGTTTGGGAGTGATTAGCTTATTGATAAAGTGATTTCTACAAAAGCTGAAAGCAAAAGCACCTCATACCTGCTTCTCCAAAACGGTGTTCCATGTACAAAATAATGTTGGTGAAAAGCAGAAGCTGACATGCCAAATAGAGTAAAATCACTTCCACTCAAAGCAGAAGCTAAATTGTTAAAAGCAGCGCACTGCCAAACACCCTCTAAGTGGGTAACGCACGATCATTGTTATCTCCACATTGCCTCCCATTAATAATTAAATTAAAACAAACTTAGATATTATATTGTGATTGAATTATTAAAAAAACTTGCTGTAAAATAAAACGGCTAATAATGTACATAGCTTAACAAGTTGTTTTTTATGCCATAAAAGATAAGGTAATTAAATTCAATTCATGATGACTATGTTAGAAGACTATCAAGTTCTACACACACTTATTTGAGAATAATTTCAATATACTCCCTCCGTCCTATAATGATCTTCCCAGAGCACTATTCCAACTTTACGGGAATTTATATTTATTTGTGTTTTTTCATGGCCTATATGATAAAATAAAATATTCTTGTCACCACTTGTTTTGTTGAACTTTTGATGTAGTTTTTAAATATGTATGTTTTATTTTTTATTTCTATACCAATATTTAAATAAAATAGATTGAAAAAACTTGGAATTTTTCTTCGTTTTGCGAACCGGGAAGATCATTATAGGACGGAGGGAGTATATAATATCCAATTTTAAAATTTATTTTTAGTATTTTTTAAAATCAATCTGTATATATTATTAAAAAAGTGTCCAAAATGTGAAATAAAATTATAATGACTGTGTTTTATTTCAATCATTGTTCGCATTTTGTATCATTCTTTAAAGATGCAAATTAACTTTAAAAATATTAAAGATGAATTCTTCAAATAGGAGCAAAAGATTAAGAAGATACCGAAATAGACGTATTACTCTTTTTTGTGACCTAAATATGAGTTTACATTGCAGACTGCCACACTGTCATCACTCACTACTACACTGCTACCATCACATTACCCTGCAGTCACGCATTATTATATAATATTGTCATCGCATTTTCAAGCTTCTATTTAAAAGATAAACAATAAAAAAATGTCGTTCTTGTTTTGATATTTAGATATCTTCCTATCTAGAAGTATTTTCTTAATATTAAAATTAAGTGTAGAATTGGTGGAACTAATGGTGTGTTTGGTCGGACGTAAAATATTTTCTAGAAAAAATTTGATTTCATTTTCATGTGTTTGGTGACATTAGTGGAAGGTAAATATTTTCCTACCAAACAATGGATTATATGATTGAAGAATAATTTTTTTTGGAAATATTTTCCTTTGGAAAATATTTTTCAGAGTAAATATTTTACTCCCAATTAAACACAACCTAAAATTAGTTTCTTAAAAATATTATTAAAATTATAGAATTGGTGGAACTATCTCTAATAAAAAAATGTCACTGACTTCTTTCCATTTTCTTCAATCAAGTCGTTGGGTGTATTTAAAAATGTAGCCTAATAATAGCATTAGGATGGTGAGGTATTTCCTTTTGATTTAAACCTTGTTTAGGAAGAGCATTTTCAATTAATGTAGTTAACGTTTTGGATAAAACACTAAAGGTATAGATTAACTCAGATAACGCTAAAAGCTAACGTCAGATAGTTTTATCAAAACGCTAAGAGTAGTATTGATTTTAAGGTGGTAAAATGCATACTTAATGCGTCCTCCAATATTGTTTTACATTTTTTTCGTTTGCAAAATTTCATTTTTTTGCATTGTTTTCAACAACATAATTTTACTTTTTTTATTATCTTAATCTCTATACCAGTCAATTAGTTATTGATGTTTATATTTTTAGATTTTTTAAAATTTATAATATGGTTTAAATTATTTAATAGTTGAGAAAAATAAATCTAATCGACTATTCAATAATTTACATTTATATTTTTTTAAATTTTTATACATATCACATTTACTCATAAATAAAGCGAAATACTTAAAAATTTTAATTTATTTGGTACGGTTTGATTTTCTGAAGCGATAACCAAAACGGAAACTAAATAATGACGCTTAGGCTTGGTTTTTTGCATTCAGTTTTAATTTTTTCAGTTTAGTTTTTTTCTAGCTCGTTTCAATCATTTCAGTAGGGATTTTGATTTTCCCAATCCAGTCCTAATAAGATCATTTCCCCAATTCCAATCTATTGTGGGATGTTCACCCAGATTCGATTTCTAGCACATGCATTTGAACGCTCTGCGTCATTAGATTGAGAAAATATAAGTAAATGTTATAGTTATAATAAAATCAAAAGCACTACAAAAATAATTTTTATGGAGTAAAAAAATTATTCTCTTTGTACATAGTAGGCTTTCTCATTTAACTTTTTTTTGTCAAAATTTATAAACTTTAATCTCGACACAAAAAAATACATTCTATTTTGATATAAATGCAACATCAATAGTTTCTTTAAACATAATCTTGAAATATTACTCCGTAAATTTTTATAAACATACAAAGTATTTATGTATGAATATAGAACATTTATAGGATAAGTCAAATAGGAAATAATTTATCGCAGTAAAATTTTGCCACGTTTGTGAAAAGAGTAAAAAAACTGAAATTTATTCACCGAAAATCAAGCACATTCTTAATGCACGTTTCTTCTCTCCTCGCCCAGAAAGGATTCCATTTAAACCCCCAAAACCTTTAACTTTCATTCTCCGCCACCGCAACCGCCACCGCCACCGCCGCCTTTAGATAGAGATCATATAACTTCAAAATATCTCTGCACTAATTAATTAATACTCCATTTTAGCCAAATCCAGAGATCATATTATTAATTACTTCCCACAGAAAAAGGAAAAAAATCCCATAAAAGTAATGGGAAATCAGTTTTCTTGCCGGAGTGTTGGCGTTAGTGAACAGATACAGGCGGTTTCCTGCAAGGTGCTCCTCCCCGGCGGGGAACTCCGGCTGCTCCGGGAACCGGTCAAGGCGGCGGAGATCATGCTCGAGCACCCGGCCCACTTCCTCGTCAACGCCGGGTCACTCGTCGCCGGGAGGAGATTCTCCGCCCTCGCGGCGGACGACGACCTGGCGTTCGGGAACGCCTACGTCGTGTTCCCGATGAAGTGGCTGGGCTCGGTGATCACGGCCGAAGACGTGTCGGTGCTCGTCCGGACCGCGGCGGCGAAAAGGGCTTGTTCCGGGAGCGCGGGGAAGGTGTCTCCGGCGGATGGGTCGCCGGTAAATGACGTGGACCGACTCGGCGCGGCGGCGGAGTATCGGCAGCACAGGTTGTCTTCTTGTAGGTCCAAGAAGCCTTTGTTGGAAACAATTGTGGAAGAACCTGACCGTATACGTGGCAGACGATAAGGCAAATCTTTTTTCTTTTTCCTTTTTCCATATCCTGGCACAAATTTAGCATGCTTTAGTTTAGCACAAAATTAGCTTAATTCTTTCTCCCTTCCCATTTAATCTTATCTATTCAAATTACTTCCTAAAATATACCGTAGTTCTATAGTTTCTTTGAACACTAATAATTCTGATCAATTTATTGAAATTTGAATTACTATCTCTTTTTCTTTCTCTCCATTTTTTCATCTTTATCCAAATAATTAAAGCATAAACGATGCGCTAATTGTGTATTAATTTCTGGCGGAATATGTGCTTAAATTAATTAAGATCAAATTTTGTTATGAAGTCCAAATAGTTAAAAGACCAGCCTTGCAAGATTTTTTTGAATAATAAACATAAAAATCTTGCAAGATTAAGATTGCCTAGCTTGCTAGCAGGGCAATGAAATCTTTAATTATGGCCAAAAAATGTGTAACAAGTTAGAGAAGAGGCTTGATATATGAGAGAAGAGACCCCTTTCTTTTTAGGTAATTTTCCAAGCTCAGAGAATCCCAGGATAAGGTTCAATTTTTTTCTTGGAGTATTTCTTCAGAAAGGTAAATTAGACTTTATCCAAAAAGTTGTTTTTATAATGCTTGTATTTTTTCGTTACAATTTAAGTTATATACTCCTTATATGTTCATTATTCACGTGCTTACACTTTATTCATTGTTTTTGCACTTTTTTGTAACTATTTTGATTAAAATAGTATAATGCTATCACTTTTTAATTTTTAGAAAGTTTGATATAATTTTAATTTTACTTTTTTTATTTAAAAATTGCTTTTAAATAAATTGTATTGAAAAGTATTTTTGTCAAATATTGTAAACCGTAATGAACAACTCAAATTAAGACAAAAGGGCTATTAAATCCAACAAAACTATTTTTGAAATCGTGTCTTTATGCTATATAACGATTTTTTTTAGACAGAGTAGATGACCACTTTGGTTATGTGAATCAAGAAAAAAAGGTCAAAATACATATTTTGTCAATAGTTGTATGACTTGTATCAAAGCCAACTTATCAAATGTAAGATAAATACGGAGTAGTTTTTTTAATGGTCACATCAAAGCTACCTTATCAATGCTGAAAGATGTTAAAAAATTCCAGTTTTCGTTGAGAAATTTAACTTTAAGTAGTGACAGTTTACGATATGGATATACTTCCTCCGTTTTTTAAAAGTGTTCCTATTTTAACTTTGTGTAAAAATAAGAAAATGTTAAATTGTAGTTGACTTCCAATTTTGCCCTTGATGTGATGGATAAAAGTAAGATGTGATGGATTGAGTATTAGAGAAAAAGTATGATGTGATAGGTAGGGTATGAAAAAGTAAGGGTAAAAATGGTTTTTTAAAAGAAAGTGTAAGTGTTTTGTTGGAAGTAAAAAAAATGAAAGAGGAAGAGTTTTTGAAAACGGAGGGAGTAAGACCTTTTGGTATAACAATAAACTAGTACTTTGAGAGCAATAAACCACATCAAACAATAAACTACTCCCTCCGTCCCCCTGTATTTGTTCACTTTCATTTTTACACACCATCTAATGCACTTTTTTAATCCATTTTATCTTGTAATTTGTATATTAAAAAATTATAGAAATTATATATTAATAATCTATATGTTAAGACAAATCAAACAAGATCACACATGACTATTTTTAGACTTACACATTGAGAGAATTTGATGAGTCAAAATGCTTAGATAAATAGTTTCAAAAGTCAAATGTGGACAAATACAGGGGGACGGAGGGAAAAGTAATCTGAGAGTCCGTTAGTAGATAATGAAAAAATTACTCCCTCTTCAAGAATATTTTGTTTTAACAAATGGTCAACAAAACAACTAAAGAAACAAAAATTATCAAAAAGCCAAAATAGTACTGCCTCCGTTTCTTAAAACCCTTCCTCTTTCATTTTTCTGTTTTTCTTAAAACACTTCCCCTTTCTATTAAAAAACTACTTTTACCCCTACTTTTTCATACCCTACCTATCACATCATACTTTTTCACTAACAACTAAACTATCACATCTTACTTTTACCCATCACATCAAGGGCAAAATTGGAAAGTCAACTACAATTTAACACTTCCTTATTTTCCCCTAAAGTCAAAAGAGGAACTCTTTTGAAAAACGGAGGTAGTAATTGTGACAATCTTTTTGGAACGTAGAGACCAGAATAGTAACAATAGCAATCCTTTTAAGACGAAGGGAGTACTAAAGAGAGAGACCATTCTTTTGTTTATTGTTGCTTATGGTAGGATACACTTGTCTTTTTAATTTTGACTTTGCAGGGATTAAAGAAATATTTAGAAAATGTTAATAAATAAAATGTACAAATAACAACTCAGTTGAATCCCACTACAGTAAATAAATAAAATGTAAATGACTTGAATTTATTTAGAAGAAAGAAAAGTACTTAGGAGTTAGGATCACATGTTAAAAAGAAAAGAAATAAAGAAAAAAACTTATAATCTCATCATTCTTTTGACACTCATTTTTGATGTGATCATATGACACCGGAATCCTACATCGCTCCATTGGGCTTAAAGTTGGACCCCCCCCCCCCCAAACGCACACAAACCAAACCCCCATCATTTCATCGAAATGCTAGTGTAATGTAGCATTTCAACAAAATGCTGAGAGGAGAGTCTGTGGATTAGGAGGTAGGAACCAATTCTGGACCCCAAAAAGTCCCAAATGGCATGACACCGAAGACCGGTGTTAAAAGATCCCTACCCATTCTATCCTTCACAATTATATTTTATATGCATGAGAAAACACGATTGAGGGTGCGGTTTGAATAGAATAAGAAGCCTAAAATAGGGTTCTGCACTGCAACATATGTGGAGAGAGGGGTGTGAAATAACACACCTCTCTAGTTTTCATCCAAATAACGTATATGAAGTGGATCTAATATCTATACACTAACCATTTTGATTAAATATCACTCGTATAAATAAGGATTTGAACGAATGTAAGTAAGTGACACCGAAGCTCTTGTTACAACTTACAGTCCTCTGCACTCTGGTTCCCCCTACTCTTTGCTTCACTTGTGTTTCTCAATCGTAATTTACATCCACCGTTGACCGCCAATCAGTTCCAGCTTCTCTTAGGCCTGAAAGTTTTGGGTAAGACAAGAGGGAAATACATGAGCCATGCCAGCCTCTACCTCACACATACACAAACACACATCTATTTGCCATTCTTGTTTTTTTTTGACGGTTCCTTTTTTTCGATTGAAATTCATCACCATTTTTTCTTAGTTAATACTTCATACTCCCTCCGTCCCAAAACACACAAATTTCTAAGTGAACTTCATGTAAAGAGCCAAGTGGAAAGCAGTTCTGGTCAATTGCTCTGTAAAATTTTGAAAAGAAGCTTTTATGAGATTAGCGCTAGTACTTTATACCGGATGGCTTGGGGATGGAAGAAATAAAGGGAAGGGGTATAAGTGACTTAATAATTTATAAAAATAATTGAATCCTAATTGATTTAACCAAAAAAAAAACAAAGTTGTACCTTACTCAAACAGGACTCTATTTTTCGAGACGGAGGGAGTGATTCATATATTCTTTAAAGAGTGTAGGTATTTATACTTTCGATTCTTTTGTCGTGAACGCCAAAACCAGGCAAGCGCTCCGAACGCACAGCTGGCAACTGCAACGGCAAATGCGGCCCCCACTGGAACAACAATAGCACCTGTTGAAGCTACAGGTTCCTCAGGAGGGGTTTTTTCATCACCCATATCTTCTTTGTCCTTGTAAAGACTAGATAGCGCCTTCCCGTAGTAACTGACCAAGAACTTGAAGACCTCATCTTTATCCCACTTGACATTGCTTTCATTGCCGTTCGTAATGCCTTTGTCAAGGTAGCACGAGTGGCAAAGCTGTATGGGTGGCCAAATCCCTTTTGGGAATTTGGGGTCACCCGTTTTCAACGTAGACTCAGCTTTCATCAGTCTCTCGTTGACGGTATTGTGTGCATCCCACAACCAAAGTGAAAAGTCACGCGCCTTCTTGAACGGAGTAGGAACCCTGTTAAGTTTGGAACATTTTAATATGCATATATGCATTTGATCTGAACGTATTTTAGAATATGCCAATTCTTTTGAAGCTGCACATTGGTCGTGATATCTCAAATTTGATCAGAATTCTAAGTTTTCAAGCAAAATTTCAAAATTTTCAATAAAGTCATAGCTATGCCCCATCGGCATGCCAAGCTGGTACCAGCCGGTCCACAAACATGATCATTACAGAAGGGTTAATCATGTGACTATGTGAGAATTTTAAAACTGCTTCTTTGGTTCCATGTCGTGGATTAAAATATCTCAAATTCTAAATATTAGGCTATATTTCCACAATATTTCACTTTCTTGGAGGTCCCGGTATTGACACGAGAATCCTCAAATTTGATTATTATTCACAATATTTAATTTTGAATTTTTCAAGATAATTTCCCTACACCAATATTTTCTTGAGTATGCAGATTGCTGACAAGACTTAATTTTGCAAAGATTTGAAATTTTGCAAGAATTTTTATCAGATGTGAAAGTCACGACCAATGTGGCAACTGGCAACCCATAAATTGGCTAATTTTTAAAATTTGGACAAAACAAATTAACTTTTTGCAGTAATTAGGCCTAAAATGAGGGTTATACAAGGATAAAGTATTAAATTATCCACTGATAGAATCTTACCTTGAACACATTTCATAGAAATGCTCCCTACACTCTTGACATATGAAAAAGTGGTGTATGAAATTGCATGTTGTTTTAAAAGCCATATCGCTTTCTGCATCTTCCACTCTTACAGAGAGGGAGTGTAAAAGGACCCACAATCCACAACTGCAGAGTAAATGATGGTTCTTGGTTAAGAGAAACAATCCGCAAAATGACAATTAATCGGCTGTCTCAAAATATTTTCCATGCAAGTGGAAACCTACACCGAAAGGCATTTGACTTAAAACTCTTACTGTGTGAGTGTGAGTGTTTATAAATATATAAATAAAAAAAACTATGCACAATGAATTTTTAAAATTAAATTCATGTCGCTGAATTCAACTAGTACTAAGGTGATAATGATAACTAGACAAGAATTTCAAAAAATGTTGATCACTTGCAATCAGGAGTGAGTTTTCTCATCTCATCATAGAAAAAAAAAAGATAAAACTTTCATTGTGTTTAACTCTTGCAAAAAGGGATGGCTTAATTGCTTATAAAGAGTAATATTTTTCTTTGCATGTAAACTGAATAATGCAGCACTCCAAGGCATGAAGATAAAAAAATAATAATAATAACTATGGGAGAAAATTCATGATCCAACTTTGACAAGCATTAAATAACATACACATCAAGAAATGAGTATATAAATGCTTTGTTACCTGAACCCTCGAGTTTCATTTGTACTTCCACGACAAAACATCTGCAAAAATGGCTAAAGATTACTAAAACTAGAAATAGTTTATTAAAAGTTAAGATAGCAAGAAAAAACTAGAAACGAGACATTAGACATTTATGGTGTGCTTCAACATAGGAATGATATAGTGGAATTTTTATCAAAACTTGTTTACACTATAACCAAACAGGGGATCAGGAAACATTGAATTGTTGGAGTGGACTCTTTTTGGTAGCAAACTCTGATAGCCCATGCACCACAGTTGTAATTGTGGTAATACTCCGTAGATAGCATGAATAGTTCAAGCCTTGTATTCAAATTTTGAACTTCTCAAATGAGACATAAAGAAATCCATACATTTAGGGATTAGAGTGAAATAAAAACAAGAATCTCTCTCAAAAACACAAATAATCCATTTAATGCAAGATAAGTTAGACTACCTGACTACCTGTATTTTTTTGAAAGGAAATGCTACTTTTTTCACAATCTAATCCACATTTTTTATACCCCACTAGAAGAGTTTATAGAAGACTTGAATGGTCTATGCTATCTACTAAGTACAACCACGATGACCATTGTGGTGCACAAGCTATTAGAGTTTCCAGAGTTGCAATTTCTTAGTTTGAAACAGAAGAACGGGCATAAATAGCTTTGGTTTCATGCAGCAAGATGTAATACTAATCAAAGCAATAATTGCTTCAACCAACCATTTAAGCAAAGAACAAGCTACTAGTAAGTGAAAAATGAAAAGAAAAAACTGCGAATAAAAATTCAAGAACCAAACAGCAAAGACCCATGCTAAATAACTTCAAAAATGCAATAATGATGGAAAAAAATCAACTGCTATTGGATACTCAATATTAACAAATTTCACCTACCCAATAGCCGCCTGGAGCCTCTTTTCCACAAATTTGGTACTCTCCCAGAATGCCCTTTTTAGTACAACTAACAACTTCTTCATTTGCTGACAAAGCATCAGACGGACACAGATCATCAAAGTTAACTAGTATATTTGCACTCCCCCTCCGGCATCTATAGTTAAGAATCACATTGTGAAGGTGAAAACACACAAGTACAAATATACAGAGTAAAAAAGGGTAATGCAGAAAAATTGTGGGACCAAACCTTCTAGATGGGTGATGAGCCGCCAAAAGTTGAAGGAAATTTATAAGTGATGCCCTTGTATCTGATTTGATCATCTGCATTCGTAGGTGAAGCCATCAAGATTCTCAAATCTCAATCTATATAATATGGGGAGAAAACCAAAAATTGGAAATTCTGAAAGTTTAGTTTTTGACCTTGTGCTTTAAGATGATATCGAACGCAGTAGACGTTGCTTCCTCAACGTCATATACAGCTCTGGCTATCTTTCACAAGCAATATGAAATATGCAAAAGAACATTACATACTAAACTATGAAAGAGATATAGCAACAAATTCATATTCATGCTTTAATAACAACCTGCCCAGGATCAGAAACATTTGCATAAACCTGCTCATTCTGATACTTCTCGTCTTCCAAGCCAAATGAACTGAAGTTTTGAAAGAAAGAACAAGGACATTATTATGATTTTTAAAATGTCAGCAAAATGGAGATGGTAGTGGAGCTGTGCGTGTGTGGGGAGGGTGGGTGGGGACTGGGGGTGGTTGATAACATAACCTCGAAGAACATTTTTTATCATAAAAATACAAAGAAAACAAAATACGAAAGGAAAGACTGGCAATGCTATATTATTTACACTTTTCAGCTACTACTATTTTGCTCATGTTTATACAGAGTACAAAGCCGTCGTATTAGATTGGTCATACTGATATTTTAATCAATATATAGGTGACATTTATCTCCCTGTTGTTTATGCACAATCTAAAGTGGCTGAACCAGGCTACTCCTCCTAAGACAAGAATTAAGGCATACACAACTTCTGTGTTTTTCAACATTGATGATAATTTTATTCTATATCAAGAATTCAAGATTGAAATGAAAACAAACTAACCAAACACATGAGTCAGAAACATAAGTTGAAATTTCCTTTAACTAATCAATCAATTAGCAAAAATACACACACACACAGAGAGGTTCCTAAACAGCTAAAAGTTGCAACAGCAAAAATCAATACAGCATGCCATTAAGATAAAGCAGTTACCAAATGTGACTTGTGGCAAGCCTCATCATAATTTCCACTCAGGTGTTCAATAAAAAGTATGGAACACAGTTTTGACTTCAAAAAGTAAATGTGATAGGAAAGGCCAAGACTTCTTTATTACCTTCCCAGTTTCTTATTGATCCATTCTAACAAGAGATTTGATGTTCGTCCATCGTCAATATGAATGATGTCACTTTTTTCCTGATTTGGCTTCCAACTCCCACCAACAAACTTCGCTGGAGGCCCCCATAAAAGCATAGGGTAATGCCCCACAGAGAAATTATCACAAAGATTAGAATTTATCTGTGCTGCCAAGCAATTCAAAAGAAAACATATAAGGAAGCATGACAAAAGTAATCTCCCCATGTAACATGATTAAGCAGAAAAAAGTTTAATAATCATATCCCACTGCTACTAGAAATAGGCCACCATCACCCCACCCTCCAATAAAGGAAAAGAACAAGCCAATGTTTCATTTTTACATGGTCAATAACCTATCAAGCAAAACTGTGATGCACATAAAAGTCTAGTAGCACTGTTTTCCCTATTAAGGTTTTCAAAACAAAAATGCCCCCCAAACATTTTAAGCCATGCAGTTTCCTAAAGTTAGGAAACAAGTTTCCTAGAAACACATTTCCGGCCCCAAAAGGCCCTAAATTTAAATTTTAACGTGAGCCTCATTCTCGTCCAGGTTCCATTTCCTAGGTTTTTGAAAAATACCACTTTGTTGTTTTCCGTTCCTGTGCACCATATAATAATCTCAGTGACCAACATATCACAAACATGCACTAGAGTCTAGAGCGTGAAGAAGAGTAACCTTTACTTAATTTTCTACTACATTAAGCAATTCATTATGATGACGGCATGCTATATGTTAGAAAAGCTAATAAATATACAGTACAATTGCACTTTTTATTCCTTGATAACATAAAAAAGAACCCCCCCCCCCAAAAAAAAAAGTTTTCATGACTAGATTGTATCATTGGCCCCAGCACTATGTCTACAATTAGAAAAAAGATAACAGAAGAAAATTCACATTGGGCAAACAACTAGTCAGTTCATTAAATATATTTTTTTAGTCTCATCTTAGTGATCTTACCACCACCACCACCAGCCCCCCTCTGGTATCTATTTCTCCCCCTGAATCTTGTTTTATTGTTGTAGTGTCCGGAAAAAAAAACAAACTATAGTACTCTGTAGTAAATAGTAGTACCCCCACTGCACAGTCTACCCTTGTCATCAATATGATTCCTGGATGAATAGCATCTGCTCCATTAAAAAGTCGTGAAACCTTCTCATAATGCGGCTGCAAATTTGTTGATTCAGAGATGAGAATCAAAAACTGTTGTAATGATAAACATCACTTAAAAGAAAGAAGCAAGATACCTTATAATTTCTGCAAGCAGGGCACCTGCAAGACATATTTTAATATTCTAAGAAAGGTTGAGATGTAATAAAGTTATACTCCCTCCGTCCTAAAATAAAGTTCTCATTCACTATTCACATGTCAAACTTTATCACAATTCCTTACATATTCTTATTGATCATTTATATACTTAAATAGTCAAATAATTTCTTGTTTTGTATAACTTTTGATGTAGTTTTAAACATATAAATTGTATTTTTTAGATTCTATACCAAATTTTAAATAAATTAAATTGAAAACAACTTCTATCAAATATCGTAAACCAAAACGGGAAGTTTATTTTGGGGTGGGGGAGGAAAAGGAAATGACTTACTTGCTATTGAGTATCGATGGTGTAAATTAATGATAACAGAAAAGAATGACAACATTCAAAAAAATGAGATCAAGAAGAGAGATCAAGCTGATGCATTTTCAAACTTCATCGAAAGTAAGATGAAAGGGAAGTTTAACGTCTCATTTTGATTTGATCCATTACTCCATATTTAGCTCCATTGGCAATGGACATAACCAGTACTACACTATTACTACCGTTGTAGAAAATGGGCAGACGCTTTGCAAAAACAAGGATCATCATCAATTGTCAAAGGGGGACAGCCAATAATCCATAATAATATTTGATTCTAACTTTTTGGCATGAAATGTGTCATCCTATATTTCTTTCTGGCTATTATTCTCAAACAACACTTTCAAGTTTCAAAACTTCATTTCCACAACGCTGGGCATAGATATAATCCAAAAACTTTCAGATGCATAATTATGCAGCACACGTTACTCAGATTATACAACTATATCCAGCCTCATGAATCACGCGTTTCCCAAAACGAGAGAAAATTAAACTAAATACGCAGGAAAAGGAAACTGACCAGTGAGCAAAGAACTCAACAATCGCGTAAGTGGCCGGAGTCTCTCCGAGGACTGAATCGAAGTTAGTGGCGTTCAAATCCACGGCGTAGTCTCGCTTCCCTCCGCCGGCGCCATCGCTGATCGCCCGAAGAATGGCGCGATGCGAACCGGCGGAAGCGAATACAGTGGCTCCGAAGCTCCAAAGAAACAGCAACGCAAACCGAATCGGAACCGGAGTCATGTTCTCACGCATATCGAGACGCGGCGGTGATTGGTGGTTCCGATTCGATTCCGATCTGTTCTTTGGCGGAGATGAAAGTCGAAGAACCAGAGATTTGATGGAGACGACACTGTTCTCTTCTGTAACGATTGAAGAATTTTAACGTTATTCCTCGAGTCAAATAAATTAGGTAACGCACACACAAAAAAATGGACCATTAATAATTTTTCTAAATAAGTGCTGCTTTGTCCATAAACCAAAGTTAGTCTTTAATTTTTTGAAGTTTAAGCAAATTATTGAAGCTTACGAAAAAAAGCTACAAAATCATTTACATTAAATTCAATGTTATAGCATAATCCGAATGGACGATGTTTCATTCGAATAAGTAATGTTTTGTATCCTAATTGGAGAAAGGACGTGGGGTCAAAGAGACAGAGAGTCAGGAAGTAAGAATTATCAACTTTTTAAATAGAACATTGTGGATCATGCTATGATATCCGACGTCAATGTCTCGTGAATCGAGATTGTGGAGTATTTTTTTAAATAAAAAAAATATTTTGAAGGAGCAATCTTTCATGTCACATTTCATGTCTTCAAACAAAACTCCATTCTTGAAAGGCAAAGAAGCTATTTCCATATGTTACATTTGTTGTAATTTTGTGGACCCCACAAGTTGTATTTCATATGTTTAAGAGAAAGAAATTTGAACAACTTCAAAATACTTCCTCCCTCCTAAAATTTTCTTCTCAGTTATTATTTACACGATCAAATTTTAATCATTTTTTCACTTATTTTTGTTAGTTATTTAATAAAATAATATAGTCTTGTAACATCTTATTTTGCAAACTTTTGATATAGTTTTTAAACATATAAATATTTTTTTAATTTTAAACCTAAAATCAAATAAATTAAATTAAAAATAAAATTAGTCAAACCTTGTAAATAGAAACGTGAAATTATATTTGAAAGATCGGATAAATTAAGATTATTCTGAATATTTTTTTCTATTTTTTAAATAAAAAAATATTTGTTTAGCACACGCTCTCTTCTTACATTCCACAAATCTTCCTTACTAAGCTCATGACAATAGAAAAGTGTTGATCTGAATTAATTTAATAGATATCAATCTTCCTTCCCGAATTAATTTGTTGAGTTTATATTAAGAAGTTAAAATAAAGGTAATTAAAATTCAATTTTTTGGTCGGTTTCTTGGCTATACGGGCCATTTTCAGTTTTGGTTCGGTCGGTTTTAGTTTATGATCGGTTCGGTCAGTCTTATCAATCTTTAAAAAAATGGTTTTTTTCGGTTTAAAACTGAAACCGGCCGTTGCTCACCTCTACAAAAAACGAAACGAAAAACGGGTTTAGACGACAACCTAAAAAGCATTCATACTTGTTACAAAGTGGTGGTCATCTTGTTCATGGTAGCTAACTTGTAAATTATATGGCCTAACATCAAGAACATCTAATGAAGAAATAAACACATCTTCAACTCATGTCTCAAATCTGCATGAGGTTCCTAGCTGTGATTGGGAACTGTTTTTTTTTTTGCCCTGTTATATTAGGATATAGATCTAGCTCATTACCTCACAATGAGACATCTTTTTACTCCACATTTCCGTCCTGATTATCACCTGCATAGACAAATCAGAAGAAATTCAGGGGTAGTTTTGGTAATATTATTTGGCGGGAACACATGAATCTGTGTTGTTTGGTAACACTTATTTCTGCCAATACTAAATTTCATAAATGATCCCTAATTACAAGTGATTTTCTATATTTAGTCCTCAATTGTTGAAAACTTTTCCATAAATACTTGTAGTTCTTTAGGCCAACTATGAAAAAATATTTTTTCCACTTATAGTCCCTATACGACCGATTATGGAATAGTTTTCAAAAAATTGAGGACAATTTATGTAATATCTTAGAATTGAGAACTAAATATGGAAAACTACTAGTAATTAGGGATCATTTATAGAATTTACTCTTTTGCCAAATTCTGATAAGCAGAGGAAGCAGATTACGGAAAACCAACTTTAGAAATAGCAATAATTAACAAAAACCCAGCAAAGTCTCATACTCCCTCCGTCCCCCAGTTTTGTCCACTTTTGGTTTTGGCACACAAACCAAGGTGAGGGACAAAAAGGCCAAATTACCCCTACACAAGTCTCCTACCTAATGAATCTTGCCTCAGCCCATCCCCTCTGTTGCCTTAACCGTCTCTGCAATTGCCCCTCATTGTTGTCGTGGGTTGCACAAACCATTCAACACCGTCGAAAAGAAGTTATAGTTGAGATATGTAATGATTTATTCTTGATAATTACTCTGTACAAAGCAAAAGGAAGAATACAACTAAAATCCAAAGTGAAAATGGACTAAGTGCACTAAATCGATTCTTTAACTAGGGTTGATATTCATGGAGAAGATCCTGATAGGTAAGGGCGAGTATTAGTGTGAAAAATGAGTAAGAGAGGATCGATGGAAGAAAAGGAAGGCCGCTGCTCGGATCTATTGAAGAGGAGGAAGGCTGCTACTTCGATCTGTGGAAAAAGAAGATACGGACAAACTGAGATAGAATCAGATCCAAAGAAGATTGATCTGGATGAGGGGGAGAGAGAATTAGAAGAAGAAAACTCGGAGGTTGAAAGAGAAGCAAAAGAAAGAAGACCATTTGCACGAGAGAAGGGATTATAGAAGATGAGGAGGAGAGAAGAGGAATCGGAAGAAGAAAAGGAAATCTGGAATGTGGAGAAGGATTTGGAAGAAGAGACTGGGAAGAGAAACATTTAGGAGGAAGAAGGGCAGGGGACGAGAAAGAAATCTGGAAGAAAAGAATTTTGGGAGTGAGATGAGGACACAATAGACTTTTCAAAGTATTGTATTTGTCATTAAAGGAAAGTGGACAAATATTGTGGGACGGCCCAAAAATGAATACTGGACAAGTACCGGGGGACGGAGGGAGTAGAAAGTAGGTTGTGGGGAGGGGGGGGTGTACACAGAACTTACCCCTACTCGGAAGTAGAGAGGTTGTTTCCAAGAGATTCCCGGCTCAAGCACACACAAAATAAATAAACCGAGAAAAGTAAGCATAATAACACGAACAAAGTAAGAGAACATAGACATCAAGCACTGGCAAACATTCGAGCTTAAACAAATGAGTGGTTCCCAGCAGGAGAAGATTCCCACAGCTGGCCGGGTTTTACCTTCGTCTAGGGAAGGAGCTTCGAGTTGTTTTTGTTCCACTGGACCACTCTCGAGAAGCAGAATTTTAGGCTGGGATTGGCTTTGATCTGAGGGTGGTGGCTCAAGTCGCTGGTATTTCGGCTTGTTTTTTGCCAGGAGCAGGTAGGTGGTGTAGTACCAGAATAGAAGGATTCTACCTTGAGCCATTACGATATCTCTGATTCGACTGCCCCCAAAGGATAGCCTCTCTAGTTGCTGAAAAAGGTAGAGAATTTTGAACAATGAATTAGACCACACATTTATGGAAGAACATAAGAAGCACACATTAATCTTAAAATTTCATGGGAAATTGTTTGCTCCTAAGTCCTAATCCTCATATAGTCCTATGTAGTGAGAGAACCTCTAGGAAACTCTACTTTTATGTCATTTGTCTAGTTTCTAGGAAGCTCCGCCTGTGAGTGACTTTATGTTATTCATAGCCGATCTAGATTGTGGTAGATGGCCAACGTAAAAATCAGAACAGGAACAAAATTGAGAATATTGCAGCGGCAATGAAGGACAACCTCGAATGAATTTCTATTACTGCTAAACCTGTTTACAAGGGATTACGGCTCAGTTGTTAATCTAGTTTCTAGGAATATGTGTGCATACCCTATGATGATCATGATTAGTTTTCCCTGGCCCCTGGAAAATCCAACAGACCATGACATCTTTTAAAGTCCATTTGAGATTCTAAAACATAAAAACTTGAAGTGAAGATAGTCTTTCTTGTCCCTTGCTCTGTCTTCTGCCATGTAAGCATAATAAGAATTAATTTAAATCTAAATATCTGCTTTTTAAAGGATAGAACTAAATATCTAATTTTGAGTGAACGATATTTAAAGAGATAAGTTTTCTGTGTCCATTTGATTGGTTTTTAATAGTGGTAGCACACTAAAAACATATATACTCTGTAATAAATTAATGCTCCAATATATTGCACATCATCCCCATTTCATCTCACTGATATTCTAAAGCTACCATTTTTTATATTGTGCAGTAAGTAAATCCCGATAATTATAGGAAAATATCTCAAAGTCAAACCAAATTTCACATGTACCCTTTTGTCCCTAGTAGGCTATTACCCTTCCAACCTAGAAATATATCAGACACTTTTTCTCCATTGAATGAGGGTGGAGAGACCTAACAAAATATATAGCTGTTGAAAAATCTATTGTCCATTTTCTTTGAAAACTGTCTGATCAGTTGAATCCGTCCTCTGAAAATGTCATGAATTATAATAGAGATTCTCAGGGTTCACTCACTTGTTCACCACATTGAATGTCAAATGAATTTTGATGCTCAAACTGGAGACCCCTAAATTCATTGATGCAAAGCCCTTGGAATGCCCTGAAATAAAACAATGTATGAAGTGATGCAAGTGTATAGCCAAAGAACAGTAGCAACTTTTTATACATTTATTTACCATCTTATCAGGGAAACACGGGGAATCCAGCGAAAGATAAATGGTGTGTTTTCCGAATTCACATAATAGCCTCCAAACACAATAAAAACAGTCATAAGAGAAGGCCCTAATGCCATAGCAGCTTCAGTAGTTGGAACCATAGCACCCACAGTCAGGCCCATTGCCGAAGCAGCGAATGACTCCATAGTCACAATACCACAAAATTTACCGAATCTGGAAGAGAAAAGAAACAAAACCTCAAAAACTGAGTTTTAGTTCATGGCCAATAACGCAATAACTGTTCTTTTCACCATCAGGTCATGGCCCATGGGCTGTAAAGCCCTTTAAGTAAATGTAAGGTTGGGTACATCTTCCATTTCAACCTTACAAACCTTGGTCTGACCTCAAACAAAGTGTAGATGAAATAAGTATTTAAGTTTCATAAGGTTGAATTGTTCAAACTCATAATGAGTCTTAGAAATTTGGGTGGTATTTTGAGCAGCTTGAGCTCCTTA